CTCCCATGATATTCCAACAGAAGGATGTTCTGAACACCCATTTCGTCATTTGTGTGGGACTCAAATATGAGACGACAATGAAGATTGCAACCGTTCAGAGTCGAGCTGAGCTGAGAAGGCACGAGTGGAAAAGCCAAGGTAGGCCTTCTGAGACTGTCCTGTGTGTGGCAAATATTACAAAAAATATTTTAAAATGCCATTTTTTAGATGTAAAGTGCAGTAAAAAAAAATTCAAATGCAATGAATTTGTCTTGTGTTGATAAAGCTTTGCTCTTTTTTTGTTTTATGACTTTATTCCTGAATGCCATCGTGTTTTTTCTCACACAAATTTCTTCTTTTTAATTGGTTGAGGACAGTTTCAAAAACTTCTGTCAAACGTCTTTCGCTAGTTTTCTTCTCTCTCTCGTGTTTCCACTACTTTTCAATTATTGTCTTGCAGACGTAAGGTTAAGAGCTTCTGTTCGAGTCGAATGCACCATCTCTTTTATAACATCGACATAACATTTATAACATTATCCCCGAGCCCGGCTTATAGCCGGGCTTTTATTGCTGGCCGTAAATGTCCCTACTTCACATAATGCACGGTAAATAACAATTTCCCACCGTTGTGTGTTTGCGAGGACTTTAAGCTAGTCAGAAAGAGGATGCTAGTCATGCCAAATTAAAGCAAACCCTCCACATAGTCTCTAGAGTCCGTGATGATGCCTCTCTGACGGCCGAGTGGTCTGTTTCCACTGAGCCCACCACCGACTGGATTCTGAAAACCGAATGATTGAACCTCTACTATTTTCCACTCATTGTTGTCAAACTCTCTGTTGCCTCACCTTTGCTGAGCGTGAGGTCTTATTTGAGGCCTCCTGTGGCTGTGCCTCTGCTTTTAGGTGTGTTTGGTGTTCTTGGAGTGCGGGTAAAATAGCTTTTCTTCCCCACTAGACTCGCCTGGTGTTTTTCATTTTGTCAGAAGAGTTCAGAATGTAAGACCCCGCTGTGTGCCAGATAATCAAACTTGGCATCGACATCAACCCCACTTTCTGATCCCTCCGAATCTCTCCAGTGGAAACAAAAAAAAACGCTGGTACCGTAGAGGAAATCTATTTCCTGATGACGTTATGATTCCGAGGGATAAGGAGCGGTTTATAAACTAATAACACACTCTAAAAGAAAGGTCTCTCTCTTTCTAGTAAGAAAGTAAAAGCTTTCACACACTCCACTGAAGTCCCCGAACGCGAGTAGAGAGCAAAAAAAAGCTTGTTTTTTTCCTGTGAACAGCCTTATACGAAGCTGAAGGAAGTCTTGGTGTCTCTGTGTGCTTCTTTAAAGCGATTGGAGGTAGTTTAAAAGGAGCCATTCTGAATGTGTTGCCATCATCAGGACTCCCTCTGATTCCACACAGCTCGGCCCGGTTCGGAAACTAAACAGTACCCTCTATTGGATGACACAGAGATTGCTCATGGAGGTTTCCTGACCTTTAGTGACCGCCGGTGACCGTGCTGCCGCTCTATCTGTGAACTTTCGATCCTTTCGAGACCCTTTAAAGTGCTAAGTTCCAACAACTTAAACTTGATACATGTCTTCTTTTAATCGTCACTGTCACAGAGCGTCCAACAGCAGAGTCCTTCTGCTTAACAAGGCTCGAGACAATTTAGGTGATTTGGTACGCTCCGCCACGTGGGCCGACCACTCATTTAAACTCTCCTTTCCTCTAAGGGAACAGAAGCAAGGCGTATCTATGTGCCGCGGACCAGAATCCCCCAGAGGTCCGGGATCCGGGGGATTGCCTGCAAAATGATGTAGAGTTTAATTTCATAGTCATTTCGCTGAAGGGTTTGATCAAATAATTCACTTTGACTCTTTGCAGCTGTCACTAACACTTCAACTTTCTTAAAATCCTACATGTATGTATTTTATAGAGTTTCCCTGTTCATTTTCCTCTCAGTTTGTAGATTTCTGCCTTTCAGAGAGGCCAGAAGAATCTGGTCTGTCTCCATTCTCATCTGACAACAAGAGGCTGTATTTTGTATATTTTTCAAATGAAGTCCCATCTCTAAAACTCTACCCCGCTTTAATGAGGCGTCTGCAATCAGGGTTGGAAGGCACATGTACAGTTTAGAGGAGCAATGACAAATATGCAAAAAAAAATGTAGAATAAAGAAACTGTGAAAGCCACAGTGATGCAAATGGGAGGCTTCATCTCCATTTCTGTGGCTCGTGGTGCTCCACAAGAACCCGAAAAACTCTTAGCCCCCCCGCACGTGTCATCTCACAGCTCATAAAGCTGGGGTCAGACCGAAAATCAAACGGTGTCAAGCCGTTTTTAATGTCCCTCTCCACTCGGCATTCGTCCCCGGACAGAAGTCTTCACGGTGCAAGCCTGGATTATAACAGCCCCCGCTTTATTTCCTCAGGGAGTTTGGGCAAATTTGAGCACAGCGGTGACAGATGAGAACGTTAATATACTGAAAGAGACCCTCAAGTAAAAGGTTACCCCCCCCAAGTCCAATATGTTTGAATGGTGCTCATAAAGGCAGAAAATATTATGCTTGGATTAGTATTAAACTCTTCATTCAAATGTCTGTTTTGTCTATTGAAATGTGCAACAATAGATAAAGTCTATAGTCTTTTTCTTTTTTTAAGACCTTTTAAACATTATCTGAGCCCTGTTGTTCTTACTTTAATTACTCCACAGGAAAAGTTCTCCAGGCTTTCTTGTAGTGCATCCCAAAGCTCTTCTTTGGATTTGCGCTTGCCTTTTGTTTTATTCTGTTAGATGATGCCGCACTACTTTAATGATGCTCTGTGGAGGATTCATCCCTCCCTCGCACCTGTTCTCATCTTTTGCCTTCCCCCCTGTCCAGTTTTCACATATTCAGGGGCACGCTACAAAGTTTCCTCTAATCGCTCTTTGGGGATCACGAAAAGGTATATTATATTTTGTGAATGTGCATTTATCTCTGTTATTTCCAAGAATACGTCCAGGGATACGTGACCAAATTGTGTCTTTGTGGCTAGGTGCAACAAACACAAAGTAACATTTGTTTTTATGTTTAGACAAATGCTTAGGACTGGTTAATCTATGAGTTTGGTGCCTTTTTATGCTTGAATTATTAATGCGTTCTGCTGTTGTGCAGTCTGCAGGATGCCAGTCATGTCAAGAGCAGCCGGTCACCAGCTCATTTCAGCCACTGACCCTTACGAAGACTTTTTTTAAAAAACTCATTCCATCTCTGTATCTGTATGTTATTGTGTTGTGTGGCATGTATAGACTTTTAAGTAATATTACCATAACTGCGTCAAAGTTTACTGTGCTTCTGTGCTTTGTTACTTTAATTTGATGGATTGTATATATTAGGGCAGCATGGCGGTGTGGTGGTCACAGCTAAAAGGTTCCTGGTTTGAGTGCCCTGGGGAACATTGACCGTTCTATGTGGAGTGTGGAAATAAGCGGTGCAGAAAACAGATGGATGGTATATATTACGGTACTGTGTAAATTGAATCTTTGATGGAAGACAATGGAGAAATAGAGCAGAGGGGATAAAAGGGTTGCATTTTTTTAAATAAAATAAAAAAAGGCATCTGATAGTTGTAATTGTGTTCCCGGACACACTGGAAACGTCGGGAAATGCCGTCAAGGACTGTTAAGGGGGAGAGAGATTTGGAGGATGCCTCTGCTTAACTGAGGCATGGAAAGAGCATATGTTGTTTTTAATATGTTGTTCACAACAGGTAGAATATGTCCAGACAGCAATGTTTAGCCTGAGTAGGTAAGGCTTTAACCAGTTGTTATTTTTCCCACCCATACCAACATAGAACCTCAGAATACCTCAGCTGTCTGTTGAATAATACATAATATATCAGGAGGTTTACTCAAGCATGACCCTAAATGCATTTTATTGCTCTTTAAAAGTTACCTTTTTTAAATAGCTAAAGGAGAATTGATGATGTTTGACAGCCTACTTATAAAAGGATATAACAGTGTTAAATGTAAAAAGGAGAGGAAACAAAACAGCCCTCTACAAATAAAGAATAAGCACACATAAAAATGTTAACATTTATTGCTGTTTCTGAATACCGCATTGAAAGCAAAAGCATTCAGTGTACACAGAAATTATACAATTATATATGGTTCCACAAAGGCAGTGAACACATACTGTATTACAATCTACAAAAATCTACTTTACAGAAATTTAAAATTCTAAATATCAAAAAGTACAGCTGCAGAAACAGGTGTAGAACTAGAACCAGAAACCGCTCTGGATATCAGTCGGTGAGACAGCATGGTGACATCACGATACAAAGAAAGCCATCGTCTTTGTACTTACAGCTGGTTTCGGAAACAACCGGCAGACAAAACAGAAACATACTCCAGAAATAAGTCGCTGAATTGAAATTATCATAAATTATGGTTTTATGCATTCAAAATATATCATTCTACAGAGGATGCCTCTATCAAGGTAGCATGTCATAGTAAAGTTCTGTGGGACTGGTAGTGTACGATTGCAAAAATGTGATTAAAATAAGACACCATGGGGAAAGAAATAAAAAAAAGAATCAACTAAAAAGCTTTCCATCTTACAAGAATGAAATAGAATTTAAAAGAATACCTTTTCTTTTTTAAACGACGTGTTGGAACGTGGTATGATTCAGGTCACCGTCTGACTGAAGAACTTTTACTGGACTGTGGAACAAAAAGTGGTTTTATTTTTTTTTTTTAAACGAAAAAAGGTATGGATGTGTTCAAACTGGTAGTATGGTAAAAACACGCCTGAATACTTCCCGTAACGTGACATGCCAAAAAAAGGATGGAGTGGCTCAGGAAAAGTACCAAACCACTGCATATTAAAAAATAAAAATAAAAAAATAAAAATAAAAAAAAAAAGGAAATAAACAAAAACGCACAGCCAGGAGCTGTGAGGCTGCTGAAATCAACCCTGACAGACAGGGAAACTAAAAGTCAGAAGACCCATAAAATATTCCAATACAGAGGTAAAAAAAAAAAAATTAAAAAAAAAAAACTTTTTAGTAAGCCCACGTCAATGTCAGGTAGCCATTTTGGAGGAGTGTCCTGAAAGCGGGACGAGGTGTTCGTCTTGTGTCTGAGGTGCCTTCCTCCTTTTTCCCAGTGACAGTAAGGCTGGATTCAAGGACAAGCTGGTTTATGGTCACACGTGGCTGCGGGTGAGGGGGGGCTTTTTTTAGTCTAGTCCTGCTCCATGGGCTCCTCCGTGGTCCCGGTGTTTGAGGTGGCTTCTTCTGTGGGGGGTTCGGTGGTGCTGCTGGAGGGGGTGAGAGCTACGTCCTCTCTGGCGGGCTCGGCCCCCTCCTCTATACTGCTGCTGCTGCTGACCGGGTCGCCGCCGCTCTCCTCGCTGGTCTCGGGGCTCTGGGCCACGCCCGCCGGGGCCTGCTGCTCGGTCTGATCCATGTCGCTGCCCTCCTCCTCGGAGCTGCACGGCACCTCGCGCTCGGCCCGCTCCGCCGCCGGACCCGAGCCCGTGCACATCTCGGCCTGTGTGCTGCTGGTCGGTTCTGGAGGAGGGGGGGAAAAAGTTTTTACGTTACTTTGCCACAGTGGGAAATATAAGCCGTCACCTTTCTGCCTCCGTCAGACCCTAGTAGTGCAAGGACAAATCTTCAGAGGAAAACACTAAGAGCTGAATTTGCTGGGAAACGGCGCCGAGCCCAGTCGTGCTGTCGTTTTTCCCATCGAAAGAGGGGATTGGAAGGACACGGCTCTAAACCACAAATAGGCTTGCCTAATTCTTTGTTAGGGAGCAGCACTTTTAATGTGAAAAATCAAGTCATAATTCGGCCCGGTTCAACTTGCCTGAAATGTTTTTTCTGAACTTTGTACTTTCACACCATTCAAAAAGTGTAAATGTTCATTGTAAATTCTCCATTGCTAATACACCTCTCCTTTGCTACAGAACAACAGGAGAGAGATCACTTTCATCCAAATTAAGCACAACTGGCGTGCTTTTGCCCCCTCTTAAGAGGTGGATCTCTCATGAGAAAAACTAAACCCGACCTGTGAGGAGCATGCGAGGTGGAAACTCCACTGTTCTACACTCCTTTCCCAGTTTTCTGTGCATGTTGTAAACCCCAGCAAAATTAAATGCTGCCAAAAAAGGTTTTAAACATGTACACTTTAAGACAGTGGGGGGTGTTTTTAAATTATTTTTATTCAAAGTAACAATTACACCCAGAAGGATCTGAAGATTTTCCTACATAAACCTCCCTGCTGTAATTGTGTAGCCTTAGTTTGGAATATCTATCATAGTCAGATGTATTAAAACGACTTGCACACCTGAACGCGTGATAAAACCCACCTTGGTCTTCGGGGGCAGCACAGGTGGTGGAGGCTTCGTTCTCCTTAAGGTCTGCAGCCTTCTCCTGCTCGTCCTCCTCCTGGACCATGGCTTCTGCTTCTTTTGAGAGGCAGGTGCTGTGTGAAGGCCTCAGTGGATCCACCTCCTCCTCCTCTTCCTCCTCCTCGTCCTCTTCCTCTTCGTCTTTGCTGAACTTGAGCCTCTTCACTTCCTGGTGTTCGGCTTCCATGTCCTCCTCCTCCTCTTCTTCCGAGTGTTTGTTCTTCACCGTGCTCCCCGGGGAGCCCTCTGAGGGCGACAGCTCGCTGGAACACAAGCGGGGAAAACAGATCAGACTCCCGCTGCTTTGGCTGCGCTCGACACGAATATCTGCCGGCGCCTTAAAGATGGTGTCGTACTCTGTGTCTTTGTTGCCGTCCTGCTCTGTGTTGAGGTCGCTGTTGTCTGTGCTGTCTGGCAGCCCGTTGGCTGCTAGCGAGTGGGCCAGAGACAACTTTGGTCTGTTCATCGGCCTTGGGGTTCCAGGGCCGTTTACCTTTCTAAAACGAAAAAAAAAAAGAAGACGACAGCACCTTATTAGGGAATGGTCGCTATCATGCGAATGATATTTTTGTCCGTGCTCAAAATAACCTGTCAGTAAAAGCCGATGTGTTCCCTGGAAGCATCACTCCATTCATTCTATTGACTGCACTGCATCCATTTTTCCTGAAAAAGAAAGTGAGCATAGCGCGCAACACTTAGCTTGTTTGAAAGCAAAGAAATACTGTATTTTAGTACAGAAAGATTTGATATTTGAGGAACCATGAAGCATGGAATTGGAACATACTCTGAGGTCGGATGGACACAGCTTACCACCATTACATTCTAGGGAGAAACAAAACCAGCCACATCTGTGATGGAGGTTGTCATTTTGAAAAGTTCAAAAAGGAAAAAATAAATGGATACATTTGAACTTACCTTCTCCACCCCCCTGAGAAACTTATCTGTTCCTGTGTAGTTTCTTTTGGGTTCTGTGAGGAGCTCACACAGGCGCTGGATTGTGAATGGGATACTAAAAGAAAACAATACAATAATATATGTAGACAGACTGAGAGCACTTTTGTCAGCATCACACCAATCAGGAACATATTACCAGAAAAGCTGCAACTTCTTCCCTATGATTTAAAAAAATGTCAGAAAACGTCTGCAGCAGCTGCTAAAAACCCAGACGTCTTGCTTTAACCTCTTTGGTGCATGCTGTGGGATCTCGGGGACATACATTCTCAGGAACAGTGAACATTTACAAGCCCCCGGCCTGTTTGCTTACATTATGAGCTGCAATAAATCTCATTATCTGCTTTAGTTTGCTGCCATCTGATTCAGAGAAGTTACAGTGAGGCAGGGCCCAAAGTGTTTTTTATGAGATGTTCCCTCTTAACGTTTTGATTCTGAAAGTTGACAGCCATTTAGCTATTCTATCACCACAGAAACTCTAATGAAATGCTTCCATTTTGACTCCTAATTACACCAGCTCTTTTCCTGCCTCAGCCCAATGTCTTCTTCAGTGACTGAGGCTACATACACATGAACAAAACACTTTAAAAAAAAAAAGAAGAAAGATTTACACCTCCACCCTTATTTTCACTTTAAGTATATTAATTGAGCATGCTGTGTGGACGTTTGCATTAAAACAAACTGGGTGCATGCACCTCCCACAAGGGGAATTATAGATTTCTCAACAGTTTGCTGACCTTTAGAGTACAATTAATGCTAACTTTAATGCAACTGCTATTTATTGGAGAAAATTCACTTGCCGGTCTTCCATAAAAAAAAAAGAAAAAAGACCCAGTCTTAAAATTGTATCACATAGTTTTGGTCCAAAAACATTGGCAGAATCTTGTTATGTTTCGTTTTATATAGTAGCGTACTCCACTGAACTTCTTTTTTTCATGTCTGCTTGTAACTTTCTTTTCATGCCCGAACAGGTTCCATGTCCAATTCCACCAAGTATTGCAGCTAAACAGGATAAATCGGCCTCAATAAAGACATTCAATCTGACATTGAAAGCCAATGACTTAATGACAAATTTCAAAAGTAGAGTCAAACAAACAAAAAATCCTTATCGCCAGAGCAAAGACAAAACGACAACATGTATATGCAAATACCAGACCGGTCCATAATTCTCAAAATAGCGACTTCAAAATCCACAGAACCTAAGCTTTTAAAAGCAGTGTGTCCCGTGACCCAAAGCAGTCACAAACATGCAGGGCTCATAAGTCTGTAGTTCTGCAAAGCGCTCAAAAAGCCACATGAATTGAGAAGGGTGTCCAAATTAACCTTAAATAGATTTTTCATAAAGCGCCTGTCCGTTTATCACATAGGGTCCATTATAAGATCTTAGAAAAGACAGATTTCAGATTACTGTAACTAAACAAGAAAAAAACAAAACCCTACCCATTGTATTCCCTAACAATCTTCAAGATCCTCTCCTTCATGTCTTCGAATGGAATTGACTCCACGTTGGTATTCGCCAGACCTCTTTGCTCTGGTGCAGAGGCTTTGAAGTCATCCATCACCTTTTCCAGTTTATACAGAAAGTAGTTCTTGAATTGAGACCACTGAACCCTGGAGAAAATGCAAAGAATTAGGACTAAATATAACATAACTCATGAAAAAAAAACCTAGACACAAAGCATTGTGGTCTGTGCTGTTCCAGTGCTCCACTCCACTGCGTCTTTACCAGTTTCCTGCTATCATTCCAGCATATTTGTAACTTTGACACTACTGTCAACTGTGGCAAATACACTAGCTTACTACATTGTCATTTTACATTGGAGTTTCTTTACAGATCCCATATCTACTCAAATGTAAGGTGCAACAGGAACACCAAAGAACCCAAGCCATAATTTAACTGCAATGCCTCATAATTTAACGCATTTAGAAAATTAGCAATACCTTTTCAAAATCTGGTGCACGTTTGAATAGTATACATAAGGAAATGCATCAGGCCTTTTGTGTACACTTACATGGTCTGTCCAGTCTTGGCAACATGGCATAGAAACTGTTCTAAAAGAGGGGATTGCTCTTTCTTTGTTTTCTTGTCAAAATCTGAGAGAACAAAAAAACAATGTTAACGCACGAACATGTCAATTCTGTTAGAATCCGCGTAGATCGGAAAGTTTCCATTAACCTGAGCGAAACCTGCAATTTTGATAACTGCTACTGAACCTGGATGTTTTGACTTCTTTTAATAATTATTTATTTCAGTCAAATGTCTGTTAGCAGCAGCACTTCAGCACTTTTACCGGGCACAGTCAATTATTTGATTAACCTTAACCATTTACATAATCAATCCGGAACGCTTGTTAGCCACGACTAGCTTAAGTTTAGCACACTGCTAGGTTAGCCGCAATAAAGTAACCGGTAAACGGCCGTCTACTAATAACCGGGCACGTTGAAAATATCCCAGTCAAAATCACCGCTGAGAAAATGGTCAAATACAGAGGAAAATCCCATATACGTCCACGAGTGTCGATAAAAGCATGACCACTATTTTGTTAGCTCAGTTTCAAGGCTACTATCTTCAACAGACAGCTAACCATTTCCGCGAGAGTGCTTGTTATGTTAGCATAAGTGGCAGCTAGCTAGCGACACTAGCTTGTGAGCTGTAATCCATTATATTCCAAATGACTGCTCATTTTCGGCAACCCATATTTACAAGTGGCTCTTGTTTGAACCAAAAGGTAACGAAATAAGAGTAAACGACCTCTGAGAGCCTCTTGAAGCGAGTCAATTTCCATCCCGTCGTTGCCCTCTGTCAGCGTTGAGGATGTAAAAGGCAGACTGGTTAGCTGCTGCTAAGCTACAATCTCACAGGCAATGAGGAGAGAGCATTTTAATATGGCGCCGTGAGGTCACTGCCTGTTCAGCAACTGACATGGCACGGCACGGGGTGGGACCACAAAACATATGACTGAGCATTAACTTAATGTGAGACAAACTAAATAAGTGCTACAACAATTGTAGTTAGTTATTTGTGTTTTTACATATATCATTTTGTTTATTATAGGTTGACAAGGGCACCTCATAGTCTTCAGACAAATGCATTTGCAGCAAATCTGAGTAGGAACTTAAAAAGAAAAGGTCTGTTTAATTTGGTTCAAACACCAAAACTGCGTTGCACAGTCTGAATCTCACACTGAGGTTTGACTGAGAAAACTTCTACACGTCATACAAAGAATCTCTTCAATAAACCACATGTAGAGTTTCAGAGCAATGCCTTTCTTTTATTGAGAAACACGTCGACTGTACAGCCATTTTCAGTTTCAATGATATAATAAGATCATAACAGCACATTGAAAAAAATTAATATCAAAACATTTGACCGATGGATGCATGGCATATCACATAATACAATCAAAGGTACCTCCTCAAACACACACACACACACAAGCAAATACAAACACGCATCTTAACTACTCATTTTCTTCGATTAGTAAACATGGCACACATGAATACTTATATGGCATATGATGAAGCACATCAGACCCTACAAATCCTTGCACATTTGGTTCGACTCAGTCAATTGTAAGTTTCAAAGAGGATTTATTTTCTTTCTTTTATTTTTTTTAAAGAAATAGTAACAGCACATCCAGTTCCACTGTCATTTAAAAAGTGCATTTTAACAGGTGTGTCTATAATTAGTCTGTATGGAACACTGACAGAGGCGTCTGACAACTGCAGAACAGACCAAAGACTTAGGATTCTTTTCATTCAGTCAGCTTCACATTTCAGGTTGTTTGCTTCCAAAACATTCATAATACATAGAGTGGTTTCCTGAATAGCTGCTTCACAAAGGGAAGCTGTCCAACGTCGAGTAATAATAAAAAAAAACAAGGTTTCTAAGTATGAAAAAAAGAAAACAAGAGTAATCTTTGTATAATGCTCAGATGGAAAAAAACTACTCGTATGGACTCATATCATCCTTATATTAAACATATAAAAAGCGAAACACAGAGTGATGTCCATTTGTTAAGCGGTTGTGATTATAAAAAGTTATTTTTTGTTTTTTCCAACCGTATTTGGAATGTAAAAAGAAAAAAAAAGGCATCACTTGCTTGTGTCACAATGTTTATGAGAGCCTTATTTCAGGAAGCGTCACACAGAGTGACCAGTTTGATATGAGAGGTGCTGAGGGAGGGAGTCCAGTTCCTCAGACACTTATTTGCGTGGCCTGACGTGGCGCACCACTTTGTCCTCGAATGCTGCCTTTACCGTCTTTTCTATCTGCTTGAGGAAGACTTGAGGAATCCGACCACACAGGGTGTTGACTGTGTCCAGGAACTTGGTCTGAATGGGATAGAAGAGCGACTGGAACATGTTGTCCTCAAAGGGGAACTGCAGGAAAACACAGACGTAGCGCCATGTCAGCTCTCATTCCAAAGCGATTTCCCTCCGATTCTTGTTAATGGGGCCCATCGCATGCTAAACGGTATTTACAAATTCTGTCGGCAGGGCTGGGGCGGGGCGCGGTATTAATCATACATTATGCCGAGCCCGTCTTTAAAGAGGCTTATCTCGGCAAAGCAGAGGGAGCAGACTTTGCCGCCGGTGAAAGCGAATTCTAAAATTAAAACTGACCCGGGCTGTTTCATGCGAGCTGGAGAAAATTAGCATCACAGAATCAGTTGTTGGAGCTTCCCTTTTTTTTATGCGCCAAGGGAGCAAATCTTTGAACAAGTCAGAGCTTGAAGTCTAGAATATTAATGCATCACCCCTCAATTAGGTACTGATTGCTTGTTGACAATGTTAGCAGCACCGACTCCGATCTGTTACATAAAAAGATAACTCATGGAAAAGCGCAGCTGCTAGGAGGAACATTGGGGATGATAACCGGCCCTTGAGATGATATGTGTAAATGGAATGCAGCCACCACTGAGGTTACTGGCTAAACTTGTAAAAGTGCAGCCTTTTTGCAGCCACACAGAGGGTACTCTGAGTACATTGTGGAGAAAGATGAAAGCAAAGAACAGTTTACCTGTGCCTCGATGTGCTAGGAGAAGATATGCACCACAAATAGACCTTGATAAGGCTCATTAGTGTGTGTAATTTACATAAAAGAAGTACATTGAAGGTGTGTGCATGGATCAATGAGAAATAGTCTTTAGAGCTTTGTAGAATGTATGATAAAGTTCTAATCTGCTATTGATGTCATTGTGCAAAAAAGCATTCTTGGTGGCAAATGCTGGCCTAATGCCTTATTGAAACACTTTGACTCAAAAGAGGAAAAAATAATCGCTTTTGATCGTATCATTTCATTTCATTTTGATCATTTCTATTGATAGGCGTCAATAGAAAGCTCTATTTGTTTTAATCATGCAATATTCCACTCATAATGACAGAATAATGACAGAATTTTTTATCAAAAATACTAGTGGATGTCCTTTTTACACTTTTTGCTGCCGGGGCAACAGGTGGCCTCAAAATGCCCCACAGAAAGAGTTTGGAATCATCACTTTTAAATAACAGTTCAATTTGAAACCCCACATGTTAATCAGGGGGAATCTTTCAATGTTAATTATTGCTGAAATTGCAACTTAGAATACTTATTTGTTGCAATGTCTTTTATTGAGAAATTGCTCTGTCATATAATCAGTGGTAATGAAGCACTAAGAGGGTAATTTTGACCTATAAAAATATTCAGAATGATACAACTCCTTTCATTTTTCACCAGACTGTATAAAATAACTACTGTTTAGTTATTCAATCAAACACAAGTCACAATTATGATTTTTTTTTAAAGAGTGACACCCATAACACATCCAAAGGCTGTTGTGCTGCAGCTTATCCAAGATAATCTTTATCTTAGATAAGTAAGGCTTGATGACATGTGAATTCCGATAGCAAACAGGATTTAATCACTTCCTACATCAGAGACCTAATTGGGGGGAAAGACCTCCTGGAATACTCACATCGTGTACTGCATCATAGACTACTTTAAACGCCGGCTGCTTGTCATCATGGTACACGCCGCGGTTGCCATGGAGAATGGACACGCCCTCCTCCTCTGCTCCTTTACAGTTACTCCCGTACATACAGTGGTCAGGCCTGTAGTTCCACTGGCAGGTAAAGACGAATAGACATTCTGCGGAGGAAAAATAACAAAAAAACAAAGGCACATCATCATCCATCTCTCCCATAAACAATTCAAAAGACATCTTTCCATTCAAATTTGCTCTTTCATCAAATTCACAAGATGTAAATCTTAATGGGACTTGCAGCACATTTTTACATGATCAACTTTTTAAAAAATCTGAGTAAAATAGTTGAGGTGTTTTTAAAAAAAAGTGGTGAACCTATAAGTGCTGATGCCATCTGAAGTGCTGGTTGCAAATTAGGGTTGCCAAAAGTATCGATACTCAAAAATGTATCAATACTAAAACGTTGTATCCGGATCCGATACTCATTTTCAAAAGTATCGATACCACCATAAATGTGGAAAAACATTCCCTCAGCACACCATGTGTGTGTGTGTGGGCAGAGGGATGCGTTTCATCCCTCTGGTCCTGCTGTGGCAGCGCTAACTCTTATCTCATTTCCCAGTTTTGACTCCTCCTCACATCTTAGCCCCTCTAGCTGGTACATGTCAACCAAGAGTGTCCCCGTTTAGGGACTCTGATTTAAAACATTAGTATGTGACTCATCTGCATCTAACGGCTGCTGTTGTGCCACAGCTTACTCCACTCCACTCCATTATTTTTCCCGGCTGAGCACTTTTGTGCTTGAGACATCTTAAGTCTTTATTTGTAATTTAGCTGCAACGTGGGGTTACAGCTTCATGCTTCATCCAGGATGGCACACGGGCCTAAAATAGAATGCGCTCCTTCAGCTGCATTTAAGAAATTGTTTAAGCATTTTGCGGAAACTGACTTCCAGCAAGAAGACACAGGAGACCATGTTGTACAAACAAAATAAGCCTTCTGGGTTGTCGTATGGTAAATGGGCTCCATTGTCATATCAGGCCAGTAAATATGAATCAGCATGGTAGTGATGGGAACTCCTTTGCTAAGCTTGGATGTTGAGTTAATACATTGGTAAAGCTGGCTCTATTTAACCTGACTCCTTTTTTAATTACTATAAAAACAAGCAAATGAATGACAAACTATCAGCTGTGAATATGTATAAATCTATCTCGACCCCATTGACGATTTTACATAGATTTACCTTTCTCTAAATAAGATCTGGTCTTTGTAGTTACAGAGTAGGGAAACTACAAAGTGAGTGGGTGGGTGCTTTCACAGCAGGTGAACAGATTAAAGATTTGTTCCATGCGCATATCAATTTTTTGTGAGAGAAATGAAGGGATAGTATAACTGATTTCATTGAAAAATCTGACATGAACTGAACTTTGAACTAGCTCCAAAAAAGAAT